GTCCTTGTAAATAAATTAATGCCATTATAAAATGGGACTTGCCAGAGAGGGTTTGCTCTCTTGCACTCTCTGCCTTTCTACTATGTGATGCTTTACACTATTTGGTGATACAGCAAGAAAGCCCTCCTAAGACAAAGGCATGTTGATCTTCGACTTTCCAGTTAAGAATTGTGAGAAATAAGTTTCTTTTTTTTAAATAAATTACCCAGCCTCAGGTGTTCTGTCACATCAGCATAAAACACACTAAGACACAGGCCTGATACCCTTTACAAAATAAACTCAAAATGGATCACAGACCTAAATTTAAAACAAAAATCTATAAAATTCCTAGAAGATCACATAGGAGAAAAATCTAGATGACCTTAGATTTGGTGACGACTTTTAAAATATAATATCAAAGGCACAATGTATGAAAGAATAAATTGGTAAGTTGGATTTCATTCAAATTAAAAATTTATGCTCTACCAAACACACTATCAAGAGACTAAAAAGACAAGCCACAAACTGGAAGAAAATATTTGCAAAGAACATCTGATAATGCACTGTTATGCAAAATATACAAAGAATGCTTAAAGCTCAACAATAAGAAAAACTAACAACCTAATTTAAAAATAAGCCAAAAACTTTACCAGACACTTTAGCTAGGAAGATATACAAATGGCAAATAGGCATATGAAAATATATTCCATATCATTCATCAGAGAAATCCAAATTGAAACAGTGAGATGCCAAATAGATCAACAGGCAATACATGTCTATTAGAATGGCCAAAATCCAGAATACTAACACCACCAAAAGCTGGTGAGAATGGAGCAGCAGGAACTCTCAGTCATTGCTGGTAGGCATGAAAACTGGTACAGCCACTTCTGAAGACAGTTTACCAATTTATTACAAAATTGAAACTACTCTTACCATATGATCCATGAATTGCACTCCTTGGTATTTGCTCAAAAAAATTGCAAATACATTCACACAAAAACTTATGGCACAGATAATTATAGCAGCTTTATTCATAATTGCCAAAACTTGGAAGCAAGCAAGATGTCCTTCAGTAGGTGACTGGATAAACAAACTGTGGTATATGCAGATAAGAAAACTTTAGTGCTGCAAGAAAATTAGCTATCAATCGGTGAAAAGATATGAAGGAAACATTAATGCATATTACTAAGTGAAAGGAACCAATTTGAGAAGGCAATTGTATTAGTTTGTTCTCACACTGCTATAAAAAGCTAGCAGAGAATGGATAACTTGTAAAGAAAAGAGGTTCAATTGACTCATAGTCCCACATGCCATGCAGAAGACATGGCTGGGGAGGCTGGGAGGCCTCAGTAAACTTACAATCATGGCAGAAGGGTGAACGGGAAGCAAGCATGTTTTCACGTGGTGGCAGGAGAGGGAGTGAAGGGGGAAGTGCTGCACACTTCTCAGCAACCAGATCTCATGAGAACTCACTCACTATAATGAGAACAGCAAGGGGGATACCCACCCCATGATCCAATCACCTCCTACCAGATCCCTCTACCAATATTGGGGATTACAATTCAATATGAGATTTGGGCAGGGGACACAGATCCAAACCATATCAAATAATATGCTTGGCTCTGTGTCCCCCACCCAAATCTCATGTTGAGTTGTAATCAACCTTTGGCTCATAATATGGTTTGGCTCTGTGTCTCGCATCCAAATCTCATGTTGAATTGTAATCCCATAATTCCCCTGTGTTGTGGGAGAGACCCAGTGAGAGATAATCGAATCATGGGGGTGGTTTTCCCCATACTGTTCTCATGTTAGTTAATAAGTCTCACAAGATCTAATGGTTTGATAAGGGAAACCTGTTTCACTTAGTTCTCATTCTGTCTCTTGCTGCCACCATGTGAGACTTGCCTTTCACCTTCCACTGTGATTGGGAGGCCTCACCCCAGCCATATGGAACTGTAAGTCCAATAAACCTCTTTCTTTTGTAAATTGCCCAGTCTCGGGTATGTCTTTATCAGCAGTGTGAAAATGGAGTAATACATTATTCCACTTCTGGCCCCTCCTGAATCGCATGTCCTTCTTATATTTCAAAAAACCAATCATGCCTTCCCAACAGTCCCCAAAAATCTTAACTCACTCCAGCATTAACTCAAAAGTCCAACTCCAAAATCTCATGTGAGACAAGGCAAGTCCCTTCTGCCTATAAGCCTGTAAAATCAAAAACAAGTTAGTTACTTCCAAGATACAATGGGGTTACAGGCATTGGGTAATGCTCCCATTCCAAAAGGGAGAAATTGGCCCAAACAAAGGGACTACAGGCCCCATGCAAATCCGAATCCCAGCAGCGCAGCTATTTAATCTTAAAGCCCCCAAATAATCTTTTTGACTCCATGTCTCATATCCAGGGTATGCTGATGCAAGGGTGTGCTCCTACAGCCTTGAGCACTTCACCCCTGTGGCTCTGCAGGGTACAGCCCCCATGGCTGCTTTCACTGACTGGTGTCAAGTGCCCCTACCTTTTCCAGGTGCACAGTGCAAGCTTTTGGTGGATTTACCATTCTGGAGTCTGAAAGACAGTGGCTGATATGGTTTGGCTCTGTGTCCACCAAATCCCATTTCAGATTGTAATCTCCATGTGTTGAGGGAGGGACCTGTTGGGAGGTAACTGGCTCATGGGGACAGCTTCTCCCATGCTGTTTTCGTGATAGTCAGGGAGTTCTCATGAGATCTGATGGTTTAAAAGTGGCAGTTTTCCCCCTGCACTTTCTCTCCTGCTGCCATTTAAGATGTGCCTTGCTTCCCCTTTGCCTTCCATCATGATTGTAGGTTTCCTGAGGCCCTCTGAACCATGCAGAACTGTGAGTCAATTAAACCTCTTTTCTTTATAAATTATCCAGTCTCAGGTGCTATCTTTATAGCATTGTGAAAATGGACTAATACAGTAACCCTATTCTCACAGCTCCACTAGGCAGCGCCCCAGTGGGGACTTTCTATGGGGGCTCCAAGCCCACATTTCCCCTCCACATTGCCCTACTAGAGGTTCTCCATGAGGCTTCTGCCCCTGCAGCAGACTTCTTCCTGGACATTCAGGCATTTCCATACATCTTCTTAAGCCTAGGCAAAGGCTCCCAAGCCTCAATTACTGTTGTCTGCAAACCTACAGGCCCGATACCATGTAGACGCCACCAAGGCTTGGGGCTTTCACCCTCTGAAGCAATGGCCAGAGCTGTACCTTGTCGTTTTTCAGCCACGACTGGAGCTGGAGCAGCTGGGATGCAGGGCACAATGTCCAGGATGCAGGCACAGAGCAGTGGGGGCCCTAGGCCTGGCCCATGAATCCATTTTTCCCTCCTAGGCCTTCAGGCTTGTGATGGGAGGGGCTGCTATGAAAGTCTCTGAAACGCCCTGGAGACATTTTTCCCATTGTCTCGGCTATTAAAATTACATTTCTCTTTATGTATACAAAGTTTTGCAGCCTTGAATTCCTCCCCAGAAAATGGGTTTTTCTTTTCTACCATATGGTGAGGCTGCAAATATTTTAAACTTTTATGCTCTGCTTCTCTTTTAAATATAAGTTCCAGTTGCAGGTCATTTCTTTCTTAATGCAAATGAGCATAGACTTTTAGAAACAGCCAAGCCACATCTTGAACCTTTGCTGCTTAGACATTGCTTTCACCAGATACCCTAAATTTTCTCTCTCAAGTTCAAAATTCCACAGATTTCTACAGCAGGGGCACAATGCCATCAGTCTTTTTGCTAAAGATAGCAGGAGTGACTTTTACTCCAGTTCCAAATAAGTTCCTCATCTCTATCTAAGACCTCCTTATCTCTGTCTAAGACCTCCTCAACCTAGACTTCACCGTCTATATCACTATCAGTATTTTGGTCACAACCATTCAACAAGTCTCTGTGAAGTTCCAAACTTTCCCATATCTTCCTCTTTTTCTGAGCCCTCCAAACTGTTCCAACCTCTGCCCATTACCCAGTTCCAAAGTTGCTTCCACATTTTTAGGTATCTTTATAGCAATACCCCATGCTCAGTACCAATTTTCTGTATTAGTCCATTCTCACACTGCTATAAAGAACTACCTGAGACTCAGTAACATATAAAGAAAAGAGGTTCCGCAGTTCCACAGGCCATCCAGGAGCCATGGCTGGGAGTCCTCAGGAAACTTACAATCACCCAATCATGGAAGGGTGAAGAGGAAGTAAGCACATCTTCACATGGTGGCAGGAGAGAGTGCAAAGAAGAAAGCACTACACACTTTTAAACAACCGCATCTCATGAGAACTCACTCACTATCACAAGAATAGAATGGGGGAAGTCTGCCCCCAAGATCCAATCACCTCCCTCCCCTAACACTGGAGATTACAATTCAACAAAAGATTTGGGTAGGGACACAGAGCCAAACCATATCAGCAACAAACTACATGATTCTATCTATATAACATTTTGAAGAAGGCAAAGCTATGGAGGCAGTGAAAAAAATCAGTGGTTGCCAGGGTTAGGGGAGAGAAAGGGACAAAGAGGTGGAACTCAGAGGGATTTTTGGGCAGAGAAACTACTCTGTATGGTACTATAATAGTAGATACATGTCAATAGTAGATACTTGTCTAAACTCATAGAATGTATACCACCATGAATGAACCCTAATCTAAACTGTGGACATTGGATGATAATGATATGTGTGTGTAGGTTCATCAATTGTAACCAAAATGCCACTCTTGTTGGGGATGTTGACAATGGGGGAGGTTATGCATGTGTGGAAGAAGAAAGTATATGGGAAATTTTGTACCATCTTCAATTTTGCTGTGAGCCTAAAACTTCTCTAATAAATAAAGTTTATATAAAATTTTAAAATATCATACAGTAAAAAATAAAAGAAACTAAGTCCTTCCATAATTCTCACTGTTCAATTATAGGATGTTTACTGGTCAGATGACCTGATACTTGAGTAAGTCTTATTAGACATTCATGATGTCTAAAGAAATCCTCTGTTGGGCATTTTGTTTTTAATTCTTAGGTCAGATGTTGCCATTTTGTATAATGATCGCTCTGTCCTTGAGAATCACCATGTGAGTGCAGCTTATCGACTTATGCAAGAAGAAGAAATGAATATCTTGGTAAATTTATCCAAAGATGACTGGAGGTGAGTTTCAGAGAAAACCTAGGGGAAATTTAATTTCAGGAAAGGAATAAATTATGTGATTTAAAGTCAAGAAAAAAGATGAAAGTTGATGCATTCCCCATATTACAAACGTAATTACTGTTGACTGGATGACTCTGAGAAGGATTAGTACTTAGGGACTTTGTTCAGAGCCAGACTCTGTTAAAGGGAGCTGAAGTATTTCCAGGTCAAGTCAACATCTGTATGTCTGAATAAGACCAAACACAACACAACAAATACTTTTACATACATAATTATACACTCTCTGGAATGGAGCTCTGCTCAATGTTTATCAATATGGGGTATCTTTATAGGGGTGTTACATAAATTCAACATTTTGGCATTATATTCATTCTTTCATATATTATTTTTTTAAAGATGTGGAGTTAAGGGTTTTTTAAAAACAAAAAATTAAACATGTGGGAAAAAATTCCAATATACTAAAATGACCCAAGTGCAGAGGAAATCTTACATGTTTCTCCAAAGCATCCGTTTGCTTAAAAAAAATTACATGGTATGTTGATACTTATTGCTATGCAGGGAAATATGAGATGTACCCCTATCCCTCTGTATAACCTTTCTTCTTTTCTTCTTGATCCTTTGGTCATTATCATCTCCTTCAATTGACAATAGGGTTGCTGGACTTCACAAATAAAAGTAAAGGACAATCAATTGAATATGAACTTCATTAATCATAGAATCTTCTTCGCCTATGTCGCTAATATTCTATGGGACTTACTTATAATAAAAAAAGAAAAAGACCTATATTTATCTTTAACAAAAATCGTATTTAAAGTCATTTAATTGACTAGAAAAGGTTTCCACTTGAATGTAAATATCAAAGCCTTTTGCTTTCGTTTTTGTTTTTTAAATCAAGGTAAAAATAAATATCAAAAAGGAAAGTGACAATAAAAATATTAAAAAACGTAAAAGATAAAAATCAGAGTTTAAAATAAGCCTAAATCTCCTGTGAGTACTTTTTCAAATTTTCAAAGTTTCCTGGTTCTTCAAGGCCATTTCTAGAAATATGGGCTCATTTTTGCAACTCTAGAAAATGCTGTCAGATAGGAAGGTGGAGTTTTCTCTTGGAGACACAGTTCAGTCCTTTCATTTTACAGTTGACACTTGAACAACACAGGGGTTAGGGGTACCCCCATTCAGCTAAAAACCCATGTATACCTTTTGACATTTCAAAAACTTAACTACTAATAGCTCACTCTGGATAGGAAGCCTTACCAACAATATAAAAGTTGATAAATACATAATTTGTATGTTATGTGTATTACATACAATATTATTAAAATAAAATAACTAGAGAGAAGAAAATGTTATTAAGAAAATCATAAAGAGGAGAAAATATATTTGCTATTTATTAAGTGGAAGTGGGTCATCAAAAAGGCCTTCATCCTCTGTCTTTATGTTGAGTGGGCTGAAGAGGAGAATGGAAGACAAGGGACTGGCTTTGCTTCTCAGGTGTGACGGAGGGGGAAAAAAATATGTATATAAGTGGTCCCACACAGTTCAAACTTATGCTGTTCAAGGGTTAACTGTATTCTGTAGGAAATAGTAGCCCAAGAGGATTTACAGTCTAGAAATGCCAGGATCTAACTGTAAAAGAATTTTAAAGAGACCACTGTTGGCTATGTAGTGATTAGATGGTCAAAGGTAGGAACAAGCAGACAAGTTATGAGATATTTCCTAAAGCCTAAGAGATTATTTACATCTAGGGTATTAGTTTATTTTCTTAATCAGTGATTACCATTCCCATAGATAATTTTTATAATATTAATTTTTGTTGTTATTCGAAGAAATAAATCTTTTTTCCTCAAAGTTGACTTTGTTGCTATTTCAGTGCAATTTTATTTCCCATTATGTTTTGTTATTTACCATTCTAACTATTTTATTCTAATAGTTTACTGCTGTAATTGTCTAAGTTTCTGTTTGGTAACTTCAGAGTCATTTTAATTGAATGTTTTTAAAGAATTGTTTTAACAAATAGTGTACATACTATATACATTTTAGAATTTAATAGATTCAACACTTTCTGAAAATCTATAAAATACATATTTGATACTATACCTTTAATAACATTTTACTAAGAATCAAAATATGGATATCTTCTTAAAAGACTCATGTTTTCTGTTTACATATCTGTTTATTTCTTAAAGTACTTTTAGTAAAAATAAATGCATTAATTTAAAAGTTTTAACAAGAAAATTTTATAAATTAAGTAACGTTTTCTTATTTTGCCTAATTTAGTGACATGTAATTAGTTGATTATTGATAACATCTGGCATTTACTGATCATTTATATGCAAAGTACAATACATTTATTAGATTCTATTTATTTCCTTAAACTCTAGTCTCATTTTCCTTAGCTAACATAAATGTTTTTATTCAGTTGCTTTTCAAATATGGGTCTTGTCATATTTTCAGAGATAAAAATGTAATTGAGAATAATTTTATTAATAGCTTCCTTTCCCTTACTACTTGAATAAAAGTAAGCAAGCTATCCAATATGGTAAACAGTAAGCAGAGTATTGATTCTCATGTCTTCCATCTAAAAATTCAATAGAAATGTTTAGTGCTCATGATTTTCAGCAAGAACCATCAATATGTAGTTTTTTAAAAAACAAATCATCGAATAGATTATATCATCTTTAAGTAAAATATCTTTGTGCAAGATCATAATTCAAGTTTCCTTCACATTTTTGGTTCAGCTTATCCTACTGGCCACACCACACAATGAAAATGAAATATATTTTCTAGTACATGTGATTTTTTTTAACTTATCTGTATAGAGCAAGCAGGGAATTGTGGAACATGCAAGCCTTTGCTGGGGTGCCTTATTTTCTACTAAGTGTGAGGCTTTGTGACATGGCTATTGTATTTACAGTGTCTTGGTGAAAATAGTAATACCAATGGCTCTGTCTATGTTATGTAGGGTCAGATCCCAAAAGCTTAGACAATCACTACTCACTTTAGCATCTTGGTTTCTCTGGGGTTCTTATGATGGGAGCTCGGCACAGTGGAGTGGTCCACGTGTCTGCTTTGGAAGTGGGAACTTTTGGGTTGAATCTTATCTGAGCCACGTACTAGCTGTGTGACTGGGTGATTCAGTCTCCTCTGCTGGGAAATATTAATGCTTCCTCAGGGATTGTTAGGAGGATTAAATGTCTTTATGTACATACAAAGCAACTAGTTTCTGAAGTATTCTAATATCCGTATGTATTATGTGAAGACACTTAATCCTTACAGTTCAGTGCCTTGCTGAATAAATATTGAATGAATAGTGCTGGTTTTATTAATGTAGTAGTTTTGTTTAAAAATACAAAATGAAGAAGGATCAGAGAGGGTCTTGAAAACTCATGCCCTTTTTATCCCTATCTCTTTTCTGAGACATCAAATCTTTTAGTTTGGTTGACCATATGGATTTAGAATAGTCTCAGGCACCACTGGACTACTTTTTTCCCCCCAAAGCATTGAAATACTATATAATATTGTATTTGGAATAGTTTTTCTTTAAAATGGCTAAAGTTCCTTTCAGATTAAAAATAATAATATTTAGGAATTATGACTGCAGAAGAGTTGTGGGAGTGAGAAGGGAAAGCACTAGCTCTTCAGGGAGGTGTGAACATCATTGCCATTCACGCTGCTGGCAACTTCATAGATCCATGACAGTTAAAAGGTAAAATAATGTCAAACTTGTGTGTGGACTCGCACATTTAAAAGGTAGCATCTTTTGTGTTCATATCCATTAAGAACAATAAAACATGGTGAGTGATTATTTATAGAAATATTCCAATAAAGGACTGAATGAACCTTTCTCCTTTTGGTGACTCTACAGGGACCTTCGGAACCTAGTGATTGAAATGGTTTTATCTACAGACATGTCAGGTCACTTCCAGCAAATTAAAAATATAAGAAGCAATTTGCAGCAGCCTGAAGGGTAGGTTTTGTTTGTTTGTTTGTTTGTCATGTTAAAATTCTAGGGGCTTGGCCTCAGGAAAGACTGTAATTGGTTCCTTTGTTTTGAATAATATAAACATGTCCTTGGTTTGACAGGATTGACAGAGCCAAAACCATGTCCCTGATTCTCCATGCAGCAGACATCAGCCACCCAGCCAAATCCTGGAAGCTGCACTATCGGTGGACCATGGCCCTAATGGAGGAGTTTTTCCTGCAGGTGCCTCTTTCACATTCTGTGCAAATGTTTTTGGAAATAGTGACTGTGCATATTAGTGTACACCTTTTCTGTATGGAATCCAGGGCTTGTGACTTACTATTATCAATTGGCCACCACACATTCTTGGTGGTTTCAACAAAATTTATTAATCTTTCAGAAAAAATGTATTAAGTCTATGTACTGCAATACATGTTTTAAAGAGATTCAAATTTTGGATCTCAGATGCTACTCTCAGGAAAGAAAAACAGAAACAGCTAAGAATTGTTATCTGCTGTTAAGACGTAAGTGCCACAGCAGAGACAGCAAATAACTTTCATAATAAAAAGAGTAGATGAAGATGTATAACAGTTCTGCATAAATCTTGTTGGCCAGAATTTTAATGGAGGCTGAGAAATATTGCTTTAGCTGGGTGGACACATGCCTAACTGAAATAGGCAACAATAACAGCAACAAAAATCTAATGTACGTCAGAAACAAGCCTGGATAAGGACTGTGACTGGTGTTCTCTGCCATAAGTACACATATTTTCTTTATACACGTGCCTGTTTTGCAACCCCCACAATCCAAGCTGGAGTACTACAATACAAATGTGATGCTAACCACTCAGAGTCAGCATCAAATTGCACAAATTAAGGGCTCAGTCTTCCACAAGATTGGCTCCACTTAAGATGCCAGCTGTAAGTGGGGCCGTGGGACACCGGCACTTCTGACCAGCCAGTTACAAGTTCAGTGGTTCCCACAACCCTCTCTAGATTCAATAACTTGCTAGAATGACTCACAAAACTTCGAAAGTGCTATCCTTACAATTACAATTTTATTATAAAGAATACAATCCAGGAAGAGCCAAATGAAAAGGCCCATAAGAAAAGGTCTGGGAGGGTCTTGGATGCAGAACTTCCTTGCTATCTCCAATGGAGTTAGCCAGTGCCACCATCCTGCCTTGTCAATGTTTTCACCAACCAGGAGGTGCTACTGAGCTTTCCTGTCCAGAGTATTTATCAGAGTTTTATTACATGTGATTGAACTCAATCTCCAGCCTCGCTTCCTTCCCAGATATCCCCTGACTAGTTTAAAGTTCCAAATTTCTAATCATGTGGTTGGTTTCTGGTGACCAGGCCCTATCCTGAAACTATCTAGGGGATAGGCCAAGAGTTGCCTCATTAGCATAGACACTCCTATCACTCAGGAAATTCCACAAGTTTTTGAAGCTCCGTGCCAGGAACTGGGAATCAATATCAGATACATTTTTTTTGTTGTTTTATTTTATCACAGTCCCATTTAGAGAAGTTCTTTCATTTCTGTATTTTCAGTTATTTCATTTCTCAGTATTGTTCTTTGTTGTGAATGTTTGTTCATTGATTTTATACCTGTTCTGAAGATATAAACACCAAATAGATTACTATGTTTGGATGACTCAGGTTTCTGTCTCCCATTGTTGATGGATGTAATGTGTGGTTTCATTTTTACATTGCAATTCATATTCCTAGAGAAAGTTACTGAGTAGCATCTTCTAAATTCAAATATTTTGATCCTAAAAATAGTATTGGAAAAATGTTTTAATAATTTACTTTGTGCTAAACAAAATACACTAAGTGTAAAAACCTACCAAATTCTAAAGGTCAACTGCTTATTATGGTCAATTAAAAATTATAACAATATACTCAACCAATCAACCAGAAAATGATAATTGTATAGAGACCTTAGAGATCTTTCCGAATAGCCCTGTGATATTAGAGATGCAAAAATAGAAACATAAAGAGATACAAAGGTTTTTTAGGTTATGAAAACTTTTAAAAATATCTTAAGTTGAATGATTTTGAAAACATAGTATTTGAAAATTGTTGGATGCAATTGAAGCAGTGCTTAGGGGAAATTTTGTAGCTTTACATACTTATATTAGAAAAAACAAACGTGTAATAAAGTAACTTATATCTGTTTCACCTTAAGAAGCTAGAAGTTAAGAAAACTGAATCGAAATAAGTTGATGGAAGGATATAATGAATATAAAAGTCAAAAACAGTGAAACAGAACAAAGACAAACAATAACAAAAGTTAATAAAGATAACAGTTGGCTCTCTGAAAAAGTAATGAAATTACTTGCAGGATCAAAAAGAGAAAAAACTATAAATGAAAGAGAGAATATCATTATAGAGCCTATATTCATCAAAAGGATGAGGAATATTATGCACAATTTATGCCAATTGAAAACTTAGATGAAATTGTCACAATTTTTAACAGATATAAATTACCAAAACAGACACAAGAAAAAATCATGTAGTCTGAATATTCATATATCTGTTTTCAAAAGTTGAATTTGTACTTTAATTCTTCTTATGAAGAAAACTCCAGGCTTAGATGACTTTAATTATATTTCTGATTTCAATTCTCAATATTCAATTCAATTGAGAGATGGGGAATTCTCTCAAACATTTCAGGAAGAAATAATGCCAGTTTTATACAAATTCTTTTATGACATAGAGGAAGAGGAAAATTTGACAGCATAATTCTTGACAATACCTGACAAAGACTTTTCAAGTAAAGAAAATTACACATCCACATCTGTCATAAAACTAAAGGGGAAATTTTTTTTAATTTTTAAAGTTTTTAGCAAATCGAATCCAGCAATTTATGAAGAAAGTGCATATCATATCATAATGAGTCAGTTTAATATTTAAAAATTAAGGTAATTCACCATATTAAAGGAAATAAAGGAAAAAATATATTATCAACCCTATAGATGTGCAAAATGCATTTGACAATATTCAACAGACATTAATTATAAAAACTGTTAGTAAACTTGAAGCAGAAGACTTTTCTCAACCTCATAAAAGTTTTATAGCTAATGTGATATTTCATGATGAAATATTGAACATTTTTATTCTAAGATCATTATAGGTACTCTTACCTCTTCTATTCAACATTGCATTTGAAGTTCTAGCCAATGCAGGAAGATAATGAAAAACAAAGTATAGTTTGAATAAAAATAAATGAAACTTTTTTTAAAATTCTAATACATTCTAATAAAATAAAAATATTTTATCTATTAGTACATTTTAAAATAAATTACTGTAATTATTTATGAACTACAACTTAGGGAATTAATAAGAGAAAAAGAGGAAATTCAATAAATCGATCTATTTTTATTCTTCTATCACTTCTGATATTAGCTAGCATTTCATCTTCAATCATTACATAAAACATACTGCTTTTGCTGAACTATACTTCAGTATAAGGGATATTTTTAATTATGATTTTACTCTACAGCTTACTATAAATAATACTTTTTTTGTCTTTTTTATTTTTTTGTTATACTTTAAGTTCTAGGGTACATGTGCACAACATGTAGGTTTGTTACATATGTATACAAGTGCCATGTTGCTGTGCTGCACCCATTAACTCGTTATTTACATAAGGTATATCTCCTAATGCTGTCCTTCCTCCCTCCCCCGACCCCACAACAGGCTCCAGTGTGTGATGTTCCCCTTCCTGTGTCCAAGTGTTCTCATTGTTCAATTCCCACCTATGAGTGAGAACATGAGGTGTTTGGTTTTCTGTCCTTGTGATAGTTTGCTGAGAATGATGGTTTCCCGCTTCATCCATGTCCCTACAAAGGACATGAATTCATCCTTTTTTATGGCTGCATAGTATTCCATGGTGTATATGTTCCACATTTTCTTAATCCACTCTATCATTGATGGACATTTCTAAGTTTTTGCTGTTGTGAATAGTACCACAATAAAAATACGTGTGCATGTATCTTTATAGCAGCATGATTTATAATCCTTTGGGTATATGCCCAGTAATGGGATGTCTGGGTCAAATGGTATTTCTAGATCTTTGAGGAATCGCCACACTGTCTTCCACAATGGTTGAACTAGTTTACAGCCCATCAGCAGCATAAAAGTATTCCTATTTCTCCACATCCTCTCCAGTACCTGTTGTTTCCTGACTTTTTAATGATCGCCGTTCTAACTGGTGTGAGATGGTATCTCATTATGGTTCTGATTTGCATTTCTCTGATGGCCAGTGATGATGAGCATTTCTTCATGTGTCTGTTGGCTGCATAAATGTGTTCTTTTGAAAAGTGTCTGTTCATATTCTTTGCCCACTTTTTGGTGAGGTTGTTTGATTTTTTCTTGTAAATTTGTTTAAGTTATTTGTAGATTCTGGATTTTAGCCCTTTGTCAGATCAGTAGATTGTAAAAATTTTCTCCCATTCTATAGGTTGCCTGTTCACTCTGATGGTATTTTCTTTTGCTGTGCAGAAGCGGTGTTTAGTTAATTGAGTGATTGTGTCAAAGTGTTGTGGTTTTTGTTGCTCCATTGCTTTTGGGTGTCTTTAGTCATGAAGTGTGTGCCCAGATGCCGTATGGCCCCTGAATGGTATGTGCGTAAGGTGCTTCCTTGTTGTGTATAGGTTTCTAGGTCTAAACATTAAGTCTGTGATCATCTTGAATTAATTTGTGCTATGAAGGTGTTAAGGAAGGGATCCAGTTTCAGTTCTCGCATGGAGTGCTAGCCAGTTTTCTCCCAGAGACCATTTAGTCTAAAGTAGGAGTGTGTTCCTCGATTGTGTGTGTTGTTGTGCGAGTTGTGCGAGAAGATCAGATTGGCGTGTGATATGTGGTTATTTCCGAGGCTCTATCTGTTCCGTTAGCTTTATATCTCTGTTTTTCGTTGATGAGCCATGCCATGTGTGTGTGTGTGTGCGTGTGTGTAGTAGTTAGTTTGACAGTTCGGTACGGTGTTGTCGTGTTTGGTTAGGATTGTGTGGCACATATGGCGTGTCTTTTTTTGATTGTGTGAACGTGAAGTGGGCTTTGATGTGTGAAGAGAGTGATTTGGTGCTTGATGGATGACACGCGAACTCTAGTAAATTCCTTGGCACGTCATGCCGTTTCAATGATTGCGTGTGCTGAACATGAGCATGGAATGTGTGTCTGTTCATTGTGTTGTGTGTGTCGCGTCTTATTCATTGAGCATGGTTGTAGTGTGAAGTG